TTCATCGAGCCGCGCGCATTCGAATCGACGTTGCAAGCTTTCGCGTGCCATTACAACAAATAGACGAACAAACGTGTTCTTTCGCTGCGTCAAAGAGATAAAAGCCGACGCGGCACGAATCCAAGGTACAGGACTGTAACTGGTTCATATTAATCGGATTAGTCTTTATTTTCTTTTATTTCCGAGAGAGAGAGAGAGAGAGAGAGAGAGAGAGAGAGAGAGAGAGAGAGAGAGAGAGAGAGAGAGAGAGAGGAGAGAGAAGGGGGGAGAGGGGAGAAAGAAAGGGAGGAAGCGGGAGATGCAAGCGCACGTGGTGTGTCGGTGTCGCGAATACGCTTCCGAAACAACAGCGCCTGGCCGAATATTTCGCGTCGCTGCGCAAGTATCGGCGTTTTTTCCGGTCTACTCGTAGACAAGGACGCGACGTGCGCGTGTTTGTTCCGTAAACTGACGAAATTCGTTACAACGACGGACGCACGACACAACCCGTGCTCCACAACTCGAAAATTAATTCCATCGACCATCGAGGTCGCCGCGTGACCTCTTCGCGCGCACTCCGCGGTCGTTTGTCCCTCAAACGAACGTGATCGCTCGTCGCGCGTATTTCGCGCTGAAATACGGTACGCACGTATTTCGTTCGTTCGTTCGTTCGTTCGTTCGTTCGTTCGTTCGTTCGTTCGTTGTTTTCCCTCGTCGTTCGCACAACCGGCCGATTCCCGCATTTTCTCGCCGATAGCGTCGTGTCCGAACGTACCACTCGTCCATCCGAAAAAATACCACGGGAATATTCTCGAGCGATTCGCTGTGATTTGCTTTTCGTCCCGTCGCTATCTGTATCTCGATCGTTTTAAACTCCCCCTTTCGCTCTCCCCCCCCCCCCCGCACCCTTCGTTACACTCCCTCGACGACGACGACGACGACGCGCCGTTCTCTGTGCGCAGCGTTGCAATTCACGCTCGATTTAACTGGCAAAACGAGTTTCTGTGCGAGCATTGTCGCGACCTCCGAGCGGTATATAAAACCGCCTTCGGGGCTCGAATCATCCGATTCGTCCATTCGTTCATTCGTCCTTTCGTTTTCTCAGCTTTTCGTGACGAGCTCAAAGCTGTTTAAATCTCATCAAAGAAGGGAAAATAGAGAAGAACCGTGGAGAGTAGAGGAGATAAAGAAGACGGAAAAGAGAAGAAGAGAGAGAGAGAGAGAGAGAGAGAGAGACAGAGAGAAGCGCGTAATTTCGCTCGAACGTTTTTACTCCGCTGTCAAAGGATCCGTGTTACGGTTCGTTGTTTCTACGATTTTGCGCCAACGTTTTCTTTGAGGGGAAGAAAAAGCCACCGCTCTTTCGGGCGCGCCGAATCTCAGATTCGGCGCGCCGAAAGACGTCCGTCGTCGTTTTCGATATCCGCATAATCTCGCTTTGTTGAGAGAATCGCGAGAATAATTTTTACCAGACGAATGCGCGCGAGTGGCGTCGAACTGCGGACGAAGAAGCGGCGAAAGAAGCGAATCTCTTCGTTTCCCTTCTACAGTCTCTCTTTATCATTCGCGTTCGTTCATCGATCGTCGTCGCGGGGTGAATTTCAACGGCGATGCGAAAGAAACGTAATTTTATTTACGTATACATACTCGCGGCGAACTGTATTCATGTAAAGCCGCGAGAGCTCTTCCTGCTGCGTACTCGTTCGTCTTATGCAAATATCTTTTGACAGATTGCGAAAGGATTTCTCCGACTTGACCGTGCAATGCGACGAAATAAATCCGACGCAAATGTATCTCGCGGTCGAACGTTGAAGAGAGCATATTTGATGAGGTAATTGGCGGCGGTGTCGGTGATGGTTGTCGCGGTGAGATACACCGTCGACGGGGGGAGCCCGTCGATTGACATTCCGACTATGCGGTGCGGCAAGTCGCGGGTTACATCCGTCGGCGAAAATATGGAACTAATTTAATCCTTAACTCTCGACCAAAGTCATTCCTAGACGACCCTTTGTCAGACGACGACGACGATTGTTCCGACTGAAATAGGCTCCCTCATTCTCTCATCCACCGCGTCGTTCTTAGTTCCACGGTCTCTCCCGAATGCCGGCATTGTTCGGCAGATTAAATCCGGTTTACGATAACCCCCGTCGTAATTGACGATTCTTCTGCAATTTTCGGCCCGCCCGCGCCCGCGAGCGAGCCGTCGTCGTCCATTAACAATTAACGTGATTCCGAGATTGGGAATATGAAGCCTCCGAGGCTCAAGAGGGAATGTCAAGCGGTCGGCGACACCTTCAAGGTTGAGTGCAAGGCTCTCCGGATTGGCGCGACGCAACGTGAACGTCGGAGGCGCCGACCTGGCGCGGACTCGCTCGTTCGTTCGTCTCGTTTTACTTATACTTACTTAGCCAGCCGCGCATTCTCCAGCCGCTACATTATCGCGGCGGAGGTGCAACGTGTAGCACGCGAGGAGAGGGGCAGGAAAGCGCGCCGGCGGTTAAGCGCTTTTTATTACATCGGTTACGAATCGGCGGCTGCGTAATTGGCATCGAGTTCTCTCTCGCTGTTTCTCGCAAACGAAAGCGCGACACGCCGTGATGCGCGCCGGCGGTGTTTCGCGCTTCACCTCGCAGACGCTAAAGGTCAATTTTCCTCCCGCGTCGTCGTTAAAGTTGACGCACCCTTTAATAATAACCGCGTCGCGCTTTACGAATATCGCAGACGAAATGACTTGGAGCGGCGTAATGGGCGACGGAAAACAATTCCGTCTGCGCGATTTCGCGACTCGCGAGCGACAAAGCGATCCGAAGCTGCCGTCTTATCTCTGCGGAATAATTATGCGACTGCTGGAGAAAGTCGTTAAACGCGATTCCCATAACGTTGTATTCGTCCCGTTTCGGGACGTCCTTTCCCCAAGTGAGAATCAACGGCGAATAATTCAAAATTAACGGCTATTTAAAGGCTCTCGTTTGCGAGGGTCTCTCGTAACGCTTTCAACAATGGCGAAAAGCCGAGAGAGAGAGGGAGAGAGAGAGGGCCAACAGCGGCTCGTCATTTATCCCGTTATTTATCTGCGAAATTGCGAGACGGCGGATTTCGGTGGCCGGTTTCTATTCCGACGATGGACGTATCGATACCGAGCTGTCAAATGCGCGCCGAGATACATCGACTCTCGTCCAAACACGGTCGAGGGTATCGCGTTGGTCAAGATTAGAGTGCGCACCATTCGGGGGTACTGGAAAGATAGGCAAAATCCTATCGTATCTCGCCTATGTTCTGACACGAGCCGCTGCTGATATCGCGGACTCTGGTCCCGGAACTGTCAGGAACGAGGGAGCGATCGCTGGGCTGGTTAGATTCATGAGAGACCACTAGTGTAACCAGGCTTAGTGTATCTTTGGTAGCGCGGAAATCGAGACGCGAATCGACGATCTTCCGTGCCGAGATACAGCAAAACCGTTCGATGCCGTGAATCATCTTTGCGTTTTTCGCAAGCAGTCTTTCACAGTAGAAATAAAATTAATTGAAATATTTCGATACAACCGTTGTTGGGAAGAAACAGCAGCTAATTTCCAAGCAGTGCCAACTTTTGATTTTCAGATGCGAAAAAATGACACACGATAAAAACGCTTGTCTCCCCTTGTACCAAAAGTCCGTTTGATCGGATGCATTATCATAAAGTTAAATTTCTTTTGCTGCAAAGCCAGAGTTTGCTCCTATTTGCCTGCCTTTTCTTCATTTCCTTGTTCCTTTTTTTACTGAGGTTACTTCGATGTTTCGTGTCATGTTCACGTTTGACGAGGCATAAAAGATCGCACGGCGGACTTTTATAAGCTGCAGAAGGAAAAAAGAAAGGCAGTTGACAACTTCGCTGTACGGGGAGTAATACGGTTTGAATCTTTTATAAGAAGCGGCCTCGATCGAGAGCGCGCCGTAATATCGATGGAATTTTAGTTCGGGCTTCGATGTGTGTGAATATTCTACAACACGCTTTCGTGGCAACCGCATTTCATAGAAGCGACGTAACGACTACATAATTGCGTTCGATTGTGCCTTTTGCCTCCGATGGAATTCCGCGAAATGGACAATTGAGCAAAGTTAAGAGTCTCATCGATAAATAATCGGTTCACGGGGCTGAGCAATGCTTCGAGCACTTTCCGCACACATTTCCCAATGTCTCACACTCGAGTGATCTATTCCGTCGCTTTGTATTCCATCCATCCATCCATCCATCCATCGATCAACGATGCAAACCGAGGAGTTTCACTCTGCCGTCCCTGTTCCCCTGCAACTCCCTCCGCTAAACCGTCTTCGCGCTCGATCGGCTGGAAGCCGCTGGCTGTCGTCGAGGATAACCCCGAGGATCTCGGTGTGTTCGGCATTCGCATCGTTAGACTGCAGCTACTAGAGCTTTCGTCGTCGTCGTCGGCCGAGCCAACTCGCAGCACACCTTGTCTTGAACTTTGGCGACGTTTACTGTTTCAGTTGACGGCCGATACAGACACTGGGCGACACTGGGTCGGAAGTCACCGAGGCTCCCTCTGGTGGTCCTTCTTCTGCCAGACAGGGCAAACCGGGCGGAAGAGTCTGTCGAAAAGCACCGACGATGAGCTAGCGGCGACACCACCAGGATGCGTAGGATGAAGCAGCGCGTGCTGCACGCTTGGCCATGGTTGTGGCTGTGGCTATTGACGGCCACGGCCGGTTCCCCGTTTTCCGACACCTCCGTACCGACGACTTTTTCGCCGTTGCTTGGCGTTGGAGGAGGAGGAAACGGCGGCGGTGGCGGTGGCGATGGCGGCGGCGGCGGCGGCGGCGGCGGCGGCGGTGGCGGCGGTGACGGCGACGGCGGTGGGTCGGTCTCGTCGATCAGCATCGCGACGACCACCTCGTCGACCTCGTTCGATGGTGGTGACACGAGTCCTTCGTCGGAGCGCGAGTTTCGTTTCACCCAACCCCTGTACAACGTTTCCATTCCCGAGAATTCCATCGGTAAGACGTACGTCGTGCCCGAGAGGAGGATGGGCATAAAGCTCGCGTCCGTTGACAGTGACGTCGACATCAAGTTCCGTATAGCGAGTGGTGACCGCGACAAGTTTTTCAAAGCGGAGGAGCGCACGGTCGGCGATTTTTGCTTCCTCCTCATTCGGACTCGTACCAGCAACGTCGACGTGCTGAATCGCGAGCGTAAAGACCGATATGTGCTCGAAGTGCGTGCGACCACGAGCAGACGCGACGATATGAACCGGGCGATCACGCTCGAGGCGGACGCCACGGTGGTGGTGACGATCCTCGATACGAACGATCTCAATCCGCTGTTCTATCCGACCGAGTACGAGACCACCGTGACGGAGGACACGCCTTTGCATCGCAGTATACTCAGGGTAATCGCCGAGGACGCCGATCTGGGCAGAAACGGCGAGATTTACTATAGCTTCGCCGAGGAGACCGATCAGTTTGCCGTTCATCCGGTCAGCGGCGTAATAACGCTCACGAGACCACTGAGGTAAGCGAGCGACCGGTGCGCGACCAAACACGGTGTATCAGACCGATCCCAGACCGATTATAGCGATCGAGCGAATATACAGTCTCATTGCGACGACGACACAACACTCGGAGAGCGAAAATTCCGATTATTCGTTTCTCCGTTCTCTGTTTCATTCGCTTTCCTCTCTCTCTCTCTCTCTCTCTCTCTCTCTCTCTCTCTCTCTCTCTCTCTCTCCCCCCCCCCTTTCTCCTTTCTCACTTTCTTTCTCGTGTTTCTACACGGTTGTAAACATTCATTGGCGTGCATTGTCGCGCAGTCGCGGTCGCGCTTTTTTCCACATGTCTTGATTGTCTCGAGACACAAAGCTCGCTGCGACGTAACCAATGTAAACATAAATTAGCCAGCGTGTACCCAGCGCGGAGCTGGTAATGAGCGTGCTACAAATAAATAAAGGCAGCGTTGTGTCATTGTTGTTTGCATTAGGTACGCGGAGCGCGCGATACACGAACTGGTAGTCCTGGCGAAGGATCGCGGCGCCTTGTTCCGTTCCGTAGGTGCCAGTCGTGCGAGCACCGCCAAGGTGACGATCAGAGTGCGGCAGGTGAATCTGTACGCGCCCGAGATCTACGTGCATCATCTGCCCGACATCGTGGAGCACTCGAACGCCGACATCTACGCGATCGTGCGAGTGATCGACCGTGACGAGGGCCCGCACGGTCAAATCGCGAGCCTCGAAATCGTGGGTGGCGATCCGGCCGGCCACTTCAGGGTGCGTCAGGTCAGCGGGCCGCGATCCGGCGAATACAATATCGAGGTGCTGCACCTGCTGGATCGCGAGACCGCGTTGCAGGGCTACAATCTCACTCTGCGCGCCACCGATCGCGGGGTGCCGCAACGGTACAGCTACAAATTCGTGCCGGTGCACCTGACCGATCTCAACGACAACGCGCCGGTGTTCAGTCGCGAGATCTACGAGGTGAAGGTGCCGGAGACGGCGCCGATCAACACACCGGTGATCAGACTCAAGGTGACCGACGCGGACGAGGGCAAGAACGCGTTGGTGTTCCTCGAGATAGTGGGCGGCAACGAGGGTGGCGAGTTCCACGTGAACGCCGAGACCGGCATGCTGTACACGGCGGTGAACCTGGACGCGGAGAAGAAGGCGTTTTACACGCTGACGGTGTCGGCGGTCGATCAGGGTAACGCCGGCACCAGAAAGCAATCCTCGGCCAAAGTGAAGATCAACGTGGTCGACACGAACGACAACGATCCGACCTTCGACCAGCCGGAGAAGGAGGTGTGGATAGACGAGAACGAGCCGGCGGGCACGTCGGTCGTGCGTGTGACCGCCAAGGACCGCGACTCCGGCGAGAACGCCTACATATCGTACAGCATCGACAACATCAAGAAAGTGCCGTTTGAGATCGACCACTTCTCCGGCATCGTCAAGACGAGGCAGGTGCTCGACTACGAGACCATGAAGCGCGAGTACCTGCTGCACGTGCGCGCCAGTGACTGGGGCTTGCCGTACCGGCGTCAGGCGGAGATGCAGCTGCGAGTCCGGGTGCGCGACGTGAACGACAATCGGCCGCAGTTCGAGCGGATCGATTGCACCGGCCACGTGCCGCGTTACGTGCCGATCGGCACCGAGATCATCACCGTGTCCGCGATCGACTTCGACGCCGGCAACATCATCAGCTACCGCATAGTTTCCGGCAATTCGGACGGCTGCTTCGCCCTCGACTCCGCCAGCGGGGTGCTCTCGGTCGCCTGCGACCTCACGGACATCAAGGCGAACGAGAGGCTCGTCAACATCACCGCCACCGACGGCACGCACTTCGCCGACGTGAATCCCGTGCACATGCACCTGGTGAACGCCAAGCGGAATCTCGGCTCGCAAGCGAGACTGCTGACGGACGAGGCCGGCGCGTTCGAGTGCCACGACACCGGGGTCGCGCGCCGGCTGACCGACGCGATCGCCTCCGCCGAGAGGAACAACATGCCGTCGCGGGACGACGAGTACACGCTGACACCGAGTCGTTACGGCGAGAACGTGCACGCGCCCGAGTTTCTCGACTTTCCGGACGAGATCCGCGTGAACGAGTCGGCCAAGCTCGGCACGACCCTCGTGCGTATACGCGCCCGCGACCGCGATCTCGATTACAACGGCAAGCTTGTGTTCTGCATCTCCAGCGGCGACCGCGACTCCGTCTTCGGCATCGAGCCGGACACCGGCGAGCTCGAGGTGATCGGTTACTTGGACCGCGAGAGGGAGAGCGAGTACTACCTCAACATAAGCGTGTACGATCTGGGCAAGCCGCAAAAGTCCGCCTCGAAGATGCTGCCGGTCACCGTTCTCGACGTCAACGACAACGCGCCCAAGTTCGACAAGTCCCTGGCGAGCTTTCGCATCTCCGAGACCGCTCTGAACGGCACGAACGTCTGGCGAGCCAACGCCACCGACGCCGATCTCGGTGATAACGCGCGCGTCGCCTACTCCCTCGTAACGGAGACCGCCGACTTTCGGGTGGATCCCGTGACCGGCGTGCTCAGCGTGTTCGGCAAGCTCGACCGAGAGCGGCAGGAGATTTACGAACTGAGAATCCGCGCGCGCGACAACGGCGGCAAGAGCTCCGACGATCCGCCCTTGTACTCGGACGCGTTGGTCCGGGTGACGGTGGACGACGTCAACGACAACGCGCCCACCTTCGCGCTGTCGAGCTACAACGTGAAGATTCGCGAGGACGTGCCGGTGTGGACGGTCGTGGCGGTCGTGGACGCCACCGATCCCGACGAGGGCGCGGGCGGCGACGTCGAGTACTTTCTGTCGGACGCGATGGAGAGCGAGGGCTTCTTCAAGGTCGACAAAGTGTCCGGCACGGTGAAAACGACTCAGACTCTGGACTTTGAGGAACGGCAGGTGCACACGCTGACGATAGTCGCGCGCGATCGCGGTGAGCCGTCCCTGTCCTCCGAGACGATGGTCATCATCGAAGTGGTCGATGTGAACGAAAATCTACACGCGCCGCTCTTCGATGACTTTGTTGCGTCCGCGAGTGTCTTCGAGAATCAACCGGTCGGCACCCTCGTCACCACGGTTCGAGCCAGGGATGCGGATCCGCCTGGTGGGGACTCGAGAATCGGATACAGCATCCGGGGAGGCGACGGCATCGGCGTCTTCTCCATTGATAATGAAGGTGAGCGATCGATCGTATGTGTTATTTTGAGCGAATTTTAATTTTAATTACCATTAAGTTACCATGAGCCAACAATCCGCCAGAAATTTACGCTCGCTGTCGACATTATTTTTCCCCCCCCCGGGATATTCGGGATCCCGGGAGAATTTCTCGAGATACTTTTGTGTCTTTTTCAACGCGATACGGAATATTAAACGACTCGCAGAAACGTCGAAGATACGTTGAAATTGCGGGAACGGGAGAGGTTTCATTTTAAACTTGCGAGAATACGCGCGCGGTTTGCGACGTTTTAAAAATACAATGTTCGACTCGTTTATCAATATCGGCGGCGGCGGCGGCGGCGGCTCTTGGGCAATTTTTGCAACTTTTACGTGCGTACGTACGTACGTACGTACGTACGCTCTACTCTAAGTCGCCGCGTTCATATTGAATCCAAGAATTTCCAATCAAATATCACGAGCACGCGCGTGTGTATGTGTGTGTGTGCTGCGCTTCCTTTGAGAAAGCGAACGGGTATCGCGACCTCACCAAGATTTCCCAATATTCCGTTCAATAACCAGCGAAAGGGGAATTCCGCGCGTAAAGAGTTAAACATATTCGCGACCTCATATTGGCGTCTTCAGTCTACCCGTCACAACGTAGCAAACCAATCAAGTGGTAACCATTTGACTGTGTGTATCGCAAATCGAACGCGAGGTCAGATCGTATCGACGGAGCTGAGGAGTAACTCCGCGCCGGATAAATTGACGACGAAGAAAATGTGACACCTCTCGTGTCACATGACAAATTCAATTTTACTTTGGAAACTTTTCGCACGATCTTTCTCTCCTTCTCTTTCTCTCTTCCCCTCTTTCTCTCGATTGATTTCGATTGCTGCCGAGTGTGCTGCGTCTCCTTACGGAGACGGTGATAATCCGCGCAGATAACGCCCTACTTGCAGCATTCAGGCTGCAACAGACGGTGGCTTGTTGTATTTTGAAATTTTCCATTCTCATTCGACGCGATTTTTTCGGCACGATTGTCATAGAAGAAAAATTTCGACTCGGGTTCGCCTCGGCGCACGTGAGCTTGCACGTGAGAGCAGCGCGTCCGTTTCTTTCTCGTCTCTCGTGCCGGATATCCCTGCTGGTCCTTTGCGCACAAAAGGGCGCCCGCGTCGCGTCGTGGCATGGCACCGATCCAAAGCGAAGTTGCAGCGTCGCGGCCCATTAAATTTCGATGCGGCGAGCCTAATTGAATTACGGTGCCGCAGGACCCCCTTTTTTCGAGTGCGCGAAGCGCATTAAATTTCTCCGGCAGTCCCCTTTCACCGCGGAAACGTCTCGAGAAATCGCGC